TCATTAAAGCCTTCGACAGAGTCCCACACAACTTGCTTATCAATAGGCTAAGATCCCTTGGGATCTGTAATCCACTTTTAGACTGGTTAAAATCCTTTCTCCGTAACCGTTACCAAATAACAAAAGTTGGCTCAACTATCTCAAAGCCTAAACCAATAACCAGTGGAGTTGTCCAGGGCAGCGTCTTGGGTCCACTTCTCTTCATAACATACATCAATAGCATATGTGAGTGTCTCAAGGTAGGCAAGCCATTCTTATATGCGGATGACCTGAAGGTAGTATACACATGCCTTAGCAGTGACTTAACCCTGACCATTAGCACTATGCAAGAGGAACTAAGATATGTTAGCAAATGGTGCAACACCTGGCGACTAGAATTTAACACAGAAAAATGTGGCTGGATATGCATAGGTGACTATGGACTCGAACTAAACTTAATGATAGCCGGGCATTCACTTCCAAAACTGAAGTCTATACAAGACTTAGGGCTCCGATATTCTCACAACCTAACCTTCTCTGAGCACGTATCCACACAGGTGTCGAAATCACGCAAACTGGTGGGTTTCTTATTACGGAACTTCTACAGCACCGAATCTAGAGTTATCCTGTATAAAACATGTGTCCGACCACTGCTCGAATATTGTTCATTTATATACAGCAGTATACGGATTACGGATAGACTGAAAGTCGAAGGAGTGCAGAGATACTTTACGATGAGAATACTACACGAATAAGGACGTAAAATATGCCGCCAGGTGCAACATCCTAGGACTTGAACCACTATGGAAACGAAGGCTCAGACTGAACCTGATACTGCTTTATAAGCTCCTTAACAGGTTAACTTATAGCGCATTCACAGACACGTGGTTCATAAAAAAACTGCATATGCCTTAAGAAATGTAACTGCAACAGTAGCAATTGAGCATTTCAGAACAGTCACTAGGGAGAACTTCTTTGTGATAAAATATGCTCAGATATGGAACAGCTTACCTAAGGAAGTACGCGACTCAAACACTTTGACTAGGTTTATAAGACAGCTTAACTCTACACTACAGGACAGCACCATAAAAAGCACCACTAATACTGTTACTAGAACTACAGACATGTTAGGAACTCTCAATATACAAACAATTTACAATCTGAGAGGTGCAGAGACTACACCTGCCTTTGTTGTTTTTCAACAAAAATTTCAGATGGTTGCAGCATGAAAATATTATTAGACTATGAAAAAACTAGACTATGATAAAAACTTACTGAATAATATGGAAATCTGCACGCTAAACGATCGAAGGGTTCAACTCGGATCCTCAAATACCCACATCATCAAGATAACCTTCAATGATGACAACAGGACACGAATGAGGAATATAGGTTACCAATTTCAAACTTTCTACTTCCTTTCGTAGCAATGAAACTATGCTCCCACGAAAATTACTGTCTAATAAGCAAGAATTACCAATCCTATTCACTCATTTGACCCTCTCACCATACGAACATATATCAATCCTCTAGTTACTCAAATTTCTGGACGGTCATAATGGCATCGAAAATCTGTACAGACAGTAAAATCCAGGAGATCAACTCACCTATTAACTTTGAAGTTAACATATTCACAATAATGACGTGCAACTGACTTCCCTAGTACTTCATCTAACAGTGAATATACGTACTCGACAATGCTGCATACCTTAACGTGAACATTATGGAAAACTCGATGCCATTGGTCCGCAAGCTTTTCAAATGTTTATTCCTTTTTACCACAATACCTAATTCTGATGGCGTAAATCCATATTGCTGTGAATGCTAACACTTGGATAGATATTCACTTGGATTACATGATTATGTGGAAACTTACAGGTTCTCTGCATCATCAGTGTGGGTTCTTTTGATACCTAAAGCTATAAACACAAGAGTTTATGGTAAAATAGACGTTCATATAGCTTAACGGGGCATTGCGAAGACGAATCATAGAAGTCGATTGCTGTAACGGATGTTTAGAATCTCGAGCGATCTTTCAATATCCAATGTCTTTTAACTAGCTTGTGTAAATCAGTTGATTTCTTCGCGCTCGCTTCTTGGTCTTGCAGAACGGTTCCGGTTTTTTTGGCGGATTCCAATGCAGTAGATCCAGCCACTCATCTGCCATAGCTCTGATTTACATAACAGGAAGTTGAGTGTAGGTTTATTTGCCTTGGACTGTGGTGCAGTCGGCTTCTTCAGATGTTGAGTTGCCAGGCAGTTGTTAGGACTGGTCACTAGAGAGGGTTGGGGATAGTGAAGAGAAAACCTAGAAAGTATTTGTATGAGTAAAATAAGAAAGGAGAGGTGAACTAATGGAGTAATCTACTTACATCCAGGTAAGGTGGGTAGGGGTGCAAAGGTATGAGGAACTTAGGTAAGTGAGGCCAACTTATGGCAAGTGGAAGGGGTGAAAACGGCTTAAATGGCTACAATAGAAAGAAAACTTGTTGGGGTGGCTTGAAATCGCTTCGTGTTCCAGCTATGCGTGGGTAGACCGTGAGTCTCTACATGACTGTCTAGCCTCTTCTTGAAGCTTTCAACAGTTGGGGCGGAGACCACCTCTGCTGGTAGTGCGTTCCAGTACCCATAGACTCAGTGGGAGAAGAACTGTGAACGCACATGCGTTTTTGACCTCTGGTGTGCTATTCTATTGGGGTTTCCTCGAGGATCTCCATAGTGGCCACTCGGTAGGACTCCTTTCTTTGGATGACTTGGATTACTCATTGTTTTGTGAGCCATTATTAAGTCGCCACGTATCCCTCGATAGCTAAGGGAGTATAGACCTAGGTCTTTGAGTCTATCCTCATATGGTTTTCGTTTCATTCCAACAACCCCTTTCTTGGCTCGCCTCCGGACTATCTCCAGTAAGTTCGTGCCTCTTTTCAGCTGTGGTGAAGCGAAGACGTTATGGACCTCTAAGTGGGGCCGCATGTAAGTCTTGTAGAGCTTCAGAAGGAGTTCTGGGTGAGGGCGCCCAGTTGTCTACGCACAAAGTGTAGTACCCCATATGCTTTTTAGACATTACCCGGGGTAATTGGAACTGGTGTCCAGTTTCTCTGCCACCGTTAGACCCAGGTCTTTTTCTACTGTGGTATGGGATAGACGTGAACCACAGAGATAGTAGGATGTTTTCTGGGGATCAGGAGTGCGGAAAAACATGGACCGGCACTTATCCAGATTAAATGCCAGTTTTTTATTAGTTCCCCATTCCTCTAGTGTTCTGAGGTCCTTCTGTAATGCCATAGATTCCGCCTCGCAAGTTATTGCCCTCCGTAACTTGACATCATCAGCGTATCGAAGTATCGATGAGTTGATATGTTGCGGCAGGTCATTTACGAACAGTAGGAACAACAGTGGGCCCAAGATTGCTCCTTGTGAGACCCTGGATGAGGATGTTCTCCAAGTTGAGTAGACCCTGTTGACTTTCGTGCAGAACTCCCTGTTGTCTAAGTAGTTCTGCAGCCACGATAGCACCTGGCTGCGAATACCTAACCAGTTATCTTATGTATTAGGATCGTGTGTGAGGCAGTGTCAAAGGCTTTGGCGAAGTCCGGAAAAATTGTGGAACCAGGACCTTGAGATCCCAGCATGCTGTCCAGTGATCATGGGCAGTCAGGAGGTTGGAGGCACAGGACTTACCCTTCCGGAAGGCATATTGAGCGTCACTGAGTGCTTGTTTTGTCCAAATATTCTTTGATACGGTCTTCCATCACACTTTCCATACTTTTGATATTACTGGTAGAAGTGCTATGGGTCTATAACAGTTGGGATTCTGTCTGTCTTCTCCTTTGAAGATGGGAGAAAGGATAGCCCGTTTCCACTCTCGTGGGAGTTTTCGTTCATCCAAGTAGTGTTGGAAGAGGTTGCAGAGTGGGCCACTTAGGGTACTTGCACATTCTTTCAACGCACATGGGCGGGTGTCGTCACATCCTGGGGATTTTCCCGCGCTTAACTTTAAAAGCTTGTGGAGAACAACGGCGCGAGTTATCTGTACTTTGTGTAACTCAGTAGCATCGGGTAACGTTGAAGGCCGTTCTTACAGATGGTATGCTCACTTTCTGATGGAGTGTTGAGCTGTGTGTCAGATGTGGTGCTCAGCATTTCAGCAATCTCCTGTCCAGAGAGGTTTTCTCCGTTCGAACCTTTTATGACACATGCTCCTTGCCTTGTCGATTTTCTTTTTGCCATGAATCGGCAAAGGTTTTTGGTGTTTGCCTCAAGCCTTTCGGCGAGGTTCGGCTAGAAAGACCTCCTGTCTCCCCGCACCCTGATGTTTCTTCAGTTCCGTATGGTCACGTACGCGTCACGGTCGTCCTGTTCTCTGGAGTCTCCATGTGTGTCATGCCCTTCTCCTGGCTTTTAGAAGGCGCTCAGTGCCCCGTTTTAGCCATGAGGTTATCTTTCTAGTTGTTACCGCTAAAGGGACGTTTTGCGAGACGGCCGCCTTACTGATATATTTTACCAGTTCCCAGAGCTGTTCGATCGATAAGGAGCACCAATCCACTAGCCACGAAGCTCTTGATAGGCTCTTGTTCACAAAGGCATCACTGAGCTTACCATTGTGAATCATTTGACACGTAGCATCATATAGTATATAGCTGTTGAATGAGGTTGATAAAGGTTTGCGGCACTAAAACCGTCGTGTTGAAGCAGCTGCCTGACAAATTACTTCTCGGTTGACGCTGTCGAAGGCCTTTACAAAGTCGATGAAGTTGAGGTAGGGAGTTGACTACCATTCTATGCTCTGTCCTATGATGATGCGTAGCGTAGCGTTGGAATTTGATTCGTACATGATTTTTTTCTTCCTGAATCCAGCCAGCCTGTTCCGGTTGTAATTTTGAACCAAGGGCATGTTTCAGTGTCTCCAGGATGGTGAGGCTTAATATTTTGTTCGGGGTGGATAGGAGCATGATTCCGCGCCAGTTCTTGCAAAGACTAATATGAAAGGATTATAAAAATCAGATGTCGAAAGTGTGTGATTACATCGATGTGATTATGAATGATAATTTATGGTAGAAACGTCATCAAGTAAATAATACTGTATCACTGTGCGCTATAAATCGAATAATCAAATCTAATATGGAATTGCATTCTACCACAGTGTCAAAGTTTTACACATATTATCTCGTGATAATGGTCAACATGTCGTTTGGTATTCTATTGATTTTACTTTGCCGTACTTCTTTACAGAGTAATAACTTGAACAAGCAAGCTGATACATAGCTTTGGTTATGCAGCTAAATTCCATTAAGCATTTACACAAGTATTTTTCAACAATACACTTTCTGAATGTGTCATGTAAAAGGTCAAACACGGGCGACAAAGCATCATTACGAAGAAGCTTAAATACAAAGAAAGTCCAGGAGAGAGTTAATTTGGAATGTCAGCCAACTGGGATGGTACATTTAAAAACAAATGAAGCTGCTGGACGTACTTAATGCAATTTTGATGAATTGTCGGTAGACGTGAGCTGGTATTATCGGCTGTGGCCAAGCGGTCAATATCCTGAAACTTCTTCATAGCCGTCAGCTTCCCACCAAATCGAGATTCACCTTTGACATCCAACTAAATGAAAGCAAAAACAAATGCATTGACTAGATGCAAATATTAGTATGGATCCTGATAATTAAAAGAAAGACATCAAAAGCACAAGTTAATTATAACACCAGGGAGAGACAGCCTGAACAAATCATCAATCTACAGTGAATTATCAACAAACAAATTGAATTCTCAAGGGATAGACACCCTCAGGTTAACATCTAGTGTTCAAACGAAAGCTTCCAAACAGTACTTTGAAATACGAGCATGCTTAATCAGCGAGCGATAACAGACTCAACACTTCAAGATTATTTAACATTTTAGCCGACTCTAATACCTAGAAGCTATAATTTAGCTGTGTTACTACTTCCACACGAATATTGATGTTTGTGCCTTCTGATTTATTTTTGTCAAATAGAACTTTGCACAAATGTGACAATCATAAGGGAATCCATTTGACTAATATCGTGTCCAAGATTCTCAGATTTAGTTATCCAACCCTTAAATGGACCTCGAGAACAACAAACCCCAGAAAACTAGGTAGGTTTCAGACATGAACGACAGTGTATCGATCAAGTCTTCACCCTTCATCAGTCAAGCTATGGAACACAGGCATACCTACCGGCGATCGGCAATCACCATATTTCTTGACCTGAAGGTGGCATTCAACCCTGTCGATTATGAGAAGGAGCAACAGTGTTGGTAGTTTGATGTTATATGAGCTTTGATATTTTGTCGTGAACATCTCATCACTTCACTTGGTTTGGTGACATCTCTAGTACTAACCTCACAAAACCTTCTTTGCGGTCAGACGAAGGGCATGAGGCAAAGGAGGAAAGTCAGTCGATGACACTGTGATCCTTCAGCGATTTAGGTGGCGTAGACATGTGTTGTACATAGCAAGACACTGTCTACCTCAATGTGCGATGCTGCAGGAAGTAGGATTAGGTTGTAAAAGGGTTCAGGGTGACCAGACTAAGACTTGACACTAGTACACGAAGTCTCTGACTGTTGTTCTGAACCATGTAGGGATGTCTAGGCTGCGTAACTAGGGTCCCCGAGACAACAAGAAACGGTGGTTGAGAACTCTTGGTGAAACGGCAGAAAATCGATGACAATGGTGCATTCACTCGTTGGTTTCTTTTAAAGCTTGAATGTTCTGGTGAATCTCAATTTTTGAATTTTTTCCCCCTCCACATACCTTGGTCTACTTTGATATCAGTCTTTCTTACCCGCTAGTTCTTTGTATACTACTATGAAGTGTGACAACTTGAACCGATACACTTGTGAGAGGTTCTACATAGATTCTGTCTGTCTGCAAAGGCCAAAGAGTGTTCAAGGAGAAGTCATTTTGAAAGTCTCAAATTTGTGTCTCTCAAACGAAGTATATTACCACTACACACTTACATTTGTAAACCTTGTTTTTCACTACACCTACCTCCAAGTGTTATGATGATACCCGTAACTACTAACGTTCATACTGCATACTTCACATAACATTTACTCTATAAAACATACAGATAAATCAACGTAGAATGTCAAACAGAGGTTTTCAGTTTAAGTTGACAGTTCACAACAGCAGAAATGTATAGGTAAATGAATATTAAAGCAGACATGTTAGAATTCACAGGAAAAAATACGCGAAGGTTCGCAAAATATTCATGACTTTCCAGACAACAATTGTGACCGATTTTGATTTGTCATCAAAAGTTCCCCAAACATTGGTTCGCATTATTTTGATGACACTAACCGGTCACTCCACACTTTCTTACACTAACAGTCAAAGACTTTATGGACCGATGCCAAGTCATGACCTGACAACCATTCACCTTTCCCAACCCAATCTAAAGATTGCAGATAGGCATCGAGAGAAGGCAGTCTTTCACAGTTCTTACACATCTGTTCAATCAAACAGCAGACAGACGATTATTGTCTGACATTCGGTTGAAAAGTGGCTTTCTGTTCAAAATTTTAGTGGGACATACGCACCGACAAGTGCACGAGAACTGGCCACCAAATATCCAGACACTCATGAATTTCGGAGACTCGTGGCACTGGTCTGGTGAGGTCAGCTGAATAATCCCATTTGGGTTCTGCACGCTTGGTTAAGAAATACGGCATTTATCCATGGCTGTAGATTCCACAGTCTTGCCGAAAAGCTCCTGTTGTTCGATTTGCCAAGGGTCCGGACGTCGAAAGCTTCAGTGTGAGATTGGAAATTTAGATTTAGGAGACTGGGGATGGTAATTTGCTGGCTTGGATAGCTGGCAAGTCACAGGGTGAGGTTGACGAAGTTGTAAGAGGCCTAAAGCCGGTATAGGGAAGTGAAGGCAAGCGAGGAGATACAGGTAAGGAGGTCAGGTTATGGTTGATTGCGTTTTACATGCTGCTGGGAGCGTGCAGAAGGTTTGCACTTCCCAGCTCCCAAAGCGAGCAAGCTGTTTAGGTAATGTACCTGAAAGAGAAAATGGATAAGTGATAGCGGTATGTAACCGCAGAGCCCAAGGAACATCTCTTCTAGGTCAGTTTTACGTGGCACCTCTGGAAGAGTAATATCTAAATTTGTTTAGTTTGAATTTAGCTAGAAGTTCACAACTTAGGAATGAGTTTACCATTTCTAACTCCTTCTCTTCCTAAAAAAACTCAGTATATTAAAACACCAAATGACATAACTATTTGGATGGCATTTGTCAGTTGATATATATTGCAAACAAATTTCTACCTACTAATTTTGGTTTTCAAGATATAATTGATCTTATTTAAAGGTTTCCCAGTAGCTTCAAAATATTTACTAAACTTAACTATTCTTTGATCATATTGTGTTCTCTGAGCTAGATGGTTTAATCGTGAAGCTTTTATTGTCATTTTAGACATCATCAGCAAAAACCTCCTGAAGTTTTTCTAGATGATGTTGTCTAGAATGACAATAAAAGCTTCACGATTAAATCCTCTAGCTCAGAGAATACGATACCATGAAAATCACCCTTCTGATCCACAAATATTCTCTACCATCTCACAATCCTAGGAGATTCAAACACTTCTTGTTGTTGTTCGGAAATGGAAGAACGTTACCTGGAGGCAGGCCTCTGCAAGAGAACAACTACATTTTCTCCATGAGTGTCTACGCCAGCATCTTCTGTCAGATACATACCATATACCGACTGTCCAATGGGCTAGAAATTAGTGGAAACGGGTGGGAGACATATGGTATAACTCATGATCGCCGATACTCATTATAGGATTTGAAAATATCATCAGAGGATAAACAACCAAAGAAGAAAGTCAATCACTCTTTCTCCTATGAACAATCTAAACCATAACCATACTAGATACTTAAAATACACTTTTTGGTAACTAGTAGAAAATTCCAAACGGCAATTACCTACGAAAAATACTACCAAACAGGAATAGTGAAAAACCACTCATACTGGCCTGCAGATTTTGCTAGTTAGATGAAGGTGATTTAAACACTGGATGGCAGTCGGATTGTTCAGTGGCCTAGTCCAGTAGATCGGAACCATTAAACGTATATGAACTGAATTTATCGGGGCACAGTAGTGATAAAGTCAACCTTAAAAAATAACTATCAGCGTTTATATCAGTCACATCTGACTAGTAAAATCTGTAGGTCAGTTTGAACGGTTTCTAACCACTCATGTTGTTTAGTAACATATATTTTTACTTTATCGACCTTTTGAGTCGGAAATCACACTTTCTGACGTTAAATGAATCAATAGCTGGAAAACCATGCTGCGAAAAATCTCAACATGGACAGCGCGATCTGCATATATTTTACAAGATGTCAGAGATTCAGTTTCTACAGAAAAAAGTCGTTTGTGTAAAAGTCGATACACAAGCTGTTTTACATTCATTTATAAGAAACTGTTGATCGTCTCATAACGTTCGCTCTTACACATGACTAACTTTGCACTACCAGATAGGGTGTATCGATTCCTACCGGTTTGGGTGGCAAAATTATTTCACTAATTGATATGACATACAATAACAAGTCGTTGACTAGTTCGCTCATTAGATTAAACGTTTGACTTTTAAGCAATTTGTTCAGCACTCAATTCTCATATCGACCTACTTCAACCTGGCTAACCAAGCAGTATCACAAACGTAACATTAAGAGTGGCTACATCATATGCATTATTATTTTATTATCAGTTTACAAAGTTTTCCTGATCATTAGTCAGAAATTTCTATCTATCGTTCATTTTTGACCTACCAGTTAAGTAACTTTATAGATACCCTGAACAGTAGAAAATTCCACATGAATTGCAACGAGTTAAATTTCGGTTGAATGATTTGTAAGCCAGAAAGGAAACCAAATCTAATAGCTGACATTCACAGATGATACCAAAGTCAACAGCTGACAAAGTAACTGGCTGATAAAAAATAGTAAAACTCATCGCAGTAACTAGGGATACATTTTTATAGTAGAATATGAAGCAGAACAGTTGTTTCAGGTGAAAGCATTACACAACCCAATAGATCGAAAATCGGATACCTAAAATACTACATCGTAATGGGTCTCTGTTCAGGATAAAAACTGTATGAGGAGACTAAATTATCAAGACTTAATAATACGAAACAGTCTGAACCTCGTTTTTAATCTCCCCACGCTTATGATGGATCACGCAATTGTAGGCAGTAAGCTCTGAAAGAGAAATCGTAGTCATGTATTAAGCATATATGCCATCTTACAATCATGCTCTAAAATAGAATAGAATTTTATAACATTCATGAAACATTACTAGCTAAAACATCAAGCGACACAATAAATGAAAGAACACGGAATTAAGTCAACAAATTCACACAAAACAATCTCTGTGTGAAGTGTAGGTAAAAATAAATCATATTGGAAACTGAATTACGTAATATAAAAAGATTAACATGAAACGAAAAGCCGTGTCACAAATCAAATTACATACCTGGTGAATGAAATTTATTGACTTGTCAGTATACCTAAATACCATAGGACAACAATCATAGCCAGCTGCAACAAAAGTTGATGGTCCAATCCAAATACAACTAATGAAAGGCAAAAAATCAGTCCGAAGACGAGCAACAAAAGCCGTAGACCCTTTACCATCATTGATGCTTGCATCAGCAACAAATATTATTGAATTATGCTTCATCCAAGCCAATTTACTCCCATCTGCAGAAAATGAAACGCTAAGAACCCAACCACCTATGCAAAATGAACAAATCAGCACACCTTTAAATGCATGAAAACATAAGTTTAACTATTTTTTCCAATCTCTAAATTTACACAACATTAATTAGCGTTATTTCATCAATTTCCCATTGTATGTAAGCATGTAAATCATCAACCCTGCACGGTTTGACACACTAGGCTGAGCTATACCTACCACTGATGTTACTACTAGGCTAAGGAAACTTCAGCGGTTGGAGTAGGGTTTGGACCACTGACCCAGTGGTTGAAAATTGACTCTTTAAGTCAAAAAGCTACAGCCCTCACTATACGATTTGGTCCTATGAACCGGTTGTATAACGTGCGTGACTACTGCGAATTAACAAACACTCTTCCACCTGCTTGGATTATAGGTTTTTCACCATCATTTACTGGTCTTTGTTCATGTTAATCATTGACTGACATCCTTCAAATAAATTAAAGCAAATTAGGTTCTCGCTGTAAACTGTTCAGATATCACAGGTTTGACCACCTAACGAAAAATGCATCCATTTTACTGTTTGGATTGATTCAATTCAAAAAGAGAAACGTATGTTCATATACAGCCCACAGATAAAATAATTAGTCACAGCTTAGGTTCATCCTTGACATACACACACTCCTAACTCCGTAATGAACCCGAATAAGGAAGAGCGAACAGTCAAGAGAAGTTGGCTTCAGTCAAAACTACAGATGATTAAAAACTAGCTAAATGACCTGCGGTATTGGTGAGGTAAGATATAATCTAATCTAATAGGGCTCTCTATTACAAGTTGACCTTGAATATGAAGAAATTCTCAAATGATAAATAAACAAAAGAATTTAAAGTTAAAAAACATTGGGTTCATAATTTGTGGTATAACAGATAACTAGTCTGACAAGTAAAGGAATAGTTGGGAGTGCTGATTACCTATCATAATAACCTTCATGAGTTATTGTTTGATGATACGTACACAGTTCGTTTGGTATATCAAAGTTAACTACCTATCAGGTTGGTGAAACTAAATTTGCATCAGAACAAATTTTATTGCTCAGCAATGCACTTTTCGCAATTATACAACTAAGAGACAGCTGCTGGGCGCGAAGGGTACACAGTTGCGGGATTTACTGTCCATGTATTTGAAGCATACCCAAGGCACAGACAACATTTTATCTTGATATAGCTAGCTGACACTTCATTGCTTAATTACAAAACACTTCTTCACATTAAACTACGCTAGTAATGATCATTGCTTATTACCTTGTTCTTTTTGACTTCCTGCTACTTAGCTCTCTCTGTGGAGAGCCAGAACAAGACCTTAAACACCAATGTCCTTTTATCTCATGTTACTTTATTAAGAACACAAGAGATGCGTCATACAAAGTGACAAACAAACACTATTCTCTCAAAAAGCAGCTTTTACGACGTCATTTAAAATCAGATATTTGTTTTCCTACCTCACTGAAATATAACAAATATATTTCCTATACAAACGTTGACAAGACACAGAAGGTAGAACAGAGAACGAAAAGAAAATGTATTCGCTTTTAACATGGCTTGTTATTACGCGGCACAAATGCATTTTACAATAGCAGAAACAGATGAGAATTTATTGAAGAGAATATTCTTCGCTCAGATTGTTGCTCTTCATTATTATGGAAATCTTTAAATGTTTGAAAACAGAAATAGTTTATCAAAACAACATCAATATACATCTCGAGAAGCATTTATTACTTATGTGTTGCTTTTCAGTAGTGGAACAAACAAGATAACTCCAGTACAACTGCTAACATTTTCGATTCTAAACATATGTGTAATCGTTTCAAACCACTGACTTGCGTGGTCTCTCTCCAAAAATTGCCACTACTGATCTCCTGAATCTATGCTGCCAATTTCACACTGAAGTTTGAAACTTATGCCAAATTGGAAAACAGTCGTTTCTTGACAAGACTGAGAAATCTGGGGTTATGGATAAATGTCATCAGAAAGAGACAAAATAGAAGTAAGAAGTCGCACACAGGTGCACCGGCTCAAGTTGCCACACTTCACAGTAGTTCACAAACAACAAGTGGATAGAAAGAGTGATATCAAAATAGAATAAGTTGTAGGAGAGAATAAGCAGTTTGAAGATAACGGTTCGTGTAAATATTCAGGCTTTAGACGGCGTCAAGGAATGGATATACAAACGCCACTGTAACCGCTTTTCGATCATGTCACCAATAGTTCTCTACCACTAATTCCTGTCATCGCTAGGACCCCAGTCAAGCCGTCTACACCCCCGTACACGGCTCAGACCAACAGTCAGAGACTTCATCGGTTGGTGCCACTTATTGACTTCACTACTCTGAACCCTCATCCAAAGGAATCCAACTTCCCCTAGAATGGCACGCCGACGAAGATAACATATGCCCAAGCCATCTCAGTTGATGAAGGTTCAAAACCTCATCAATATACTTGCCTGTCTTGTCTGGTACCCTTCGCCTGACCTCAACATTGCTCACACACTGATTCCACCAAACGCGAGCAATGCTACGAAGACACCTGTGATCAAATACCCGTAATCGCTTCGTGTCTCCTACTTTTAATGCCCATGCCAGCCGCATAACAACAGAACGAACTACTGTGCTTTATACTCGTCTTTTGATAGATAGTCGGACATCTTGCCATTGAGTGCCACAGATGGCACAATTCGGCAGGTGTTAAACAGGCTTTGTGTATCCGAGCTGAGATTTCGCTGGCAACCACACCATTCGGGCTGATGCAACTCTCCAAGTAAGTGAAGTGGTCGGCAGATTCCACCACTTCACTCCTTATCATTTAATAACTGGGGAGTAGGTCAATCCCTGTGAAGTCAAACTCACTTAAGGTTGTGTCAGTTAGTACGCTTATGACGAAGTTAAGTTAAATACGAAGGGTGTACATCTGAGACAAGTGTGCAAAACCTAAGTGTGGTTACTCACTTGAACTTCATCTAGCCAATACTGCTGATCTACAAAGTTTATGAGTATCCGGATATTCAGTGCTCAGTTCACATAGACTCGTTGGTGCAAATTGCACCACAAAACTGTAGAGCAGAAGAAATTTTTTGACTGAATATCAGACAATACCCATGAGCAGTTTCACTTTACAGATCTGTAAAAACTGAGAAAGACTAACAATTTCCGAAGTATTTTAGTAAGCCAACAAATGACCTCAGCGAGTGCAGTTCACCTGGAAAGAATTACTGAAAAAATGTGAATTTTTCCTCAAAAACGAAAACCCTAAGAAACAGTGATAATAGCGGGCAACTTTAACACTCACGGATGGAGAAGTTCAAACATATCAAAGGCCGTGAAAAAAGCCTACAAGATACATTACACCGATGAACTGACAACCGTGATCGCTTACTGAGACTTCATTATCGTAACCACTTATCTTCATCCAACACCTACTTCAATTATAAGAAGATAGTGGGCAAATAATGTACCACGACAACAAACCACCGATCGACAAGCATATAATATTCCTGAAATCAATTGTAAGGAAGAACTTTCGAAACAATACCTGATTCGACAACTACCACCATACGTTACTAAGGACATAGGTACTCTCCTGCTTCAGTGAGTGGGAGATATGAAGGGGCAGTAGTTAGTGAAACCTGAAATGTTTAGAGATAAGGAGGTATGAAGTTGGTAAGTAGAGTGAAGTAGGTGGAAGGTAGTTTTTAGGAATCAGAGGTGATTGCGTTGGACTGGTGTAGGTCACCGATTATTGTAGTGTATGAGGAGAGATGTCTTCTGGTGAGAATCAATAGGGACATCGGCTTGTCTGGTGTCGAGTCCGATATCCTGGAAAACAGGAGCCGAAGAACAACAATCTGGACTAGATCAGGTAGGTTTCAGACCTGAAAGGGAGCGTTTCTATTAGACCTTCACATTTCAACATGTTTTGGAACACGGGTATACGCTTCAACCGCCGATGGCTTGGCATATTTCTTGATCTGAAGGCGACACGCAATTCTATCTACTGAGAGTTATTATGGCACTGTCTGACTGTGACGGGAGTACAGAACAAGTATGCTATGCCAATCAAGTTTCTCTATTCGAACTCACATAGCTATGTAAGGACTTATGGAGAGTGGCCACATGAAATGCAGACAACCGGTGGTGACCACTAGGGGACACTCAGTATCACTATTCATGCTAAACTTCAATATAGACGTATTAATAGACATAACCTCGAGTACCTTTGACTTACAGAGACTGACGTATTTGACTTGGAGATCGTGGACGATATCATCAGTCATCAACATATGACCAGGCATTACTGCGTAACGGTCCAAGTTGCCACATCTCATATCAGCAAACCAAGTAACAAGACAATAAAAAGGAGGACGAAGAAGGAAGGAAAACTCGGTCAAAAAAGTAGAACGTAGTAAAAGATAGGAAGGAGGAGTGAGGAAATGATAAGGTTAAGTATAGCGGTTAAGATGAGGATAATGTGTGCATACATTTGCACCACTGACATCCGTCCTGAGCCACATCACCTAGTCTCCAACCGCTGGTTTCTTTTGTCCTGGAGACCCCAACCGGCTAGTCTGTATCCCCCTGCATGGTTCAAACGAACAGCCAAGGACTGGACGCATTGATAGAATGTTTTAGTCTGGCTGCTCCGAGCCTTTTTTCCAGCCTGAACCTACTTCAGCTAACATTGTGCAATGAGGTAGACGGTGGTTGGGCATACATAACACATGTCCCAGCCATCTCAGTTGGTGAAGGTTTAAAACCATATCAACTGTCTTACCACCTCCATAAAACTCTACACCTGACTTCTGCGTTACTCAGGTGGTGACACCACGAAACACGGCCTATGCCGCAAAGGCAACGGTGGTCAAACACTTGAAGCCTTTTCATATCTTCCACCTTTAATGGCGATATTTCACAGCAGTAGAGTACAACAGGGAGAACTGCAGCACAGTACACTCGACCCTTTATAGACAATCAGACATCGCGGCAGCACCACAGATGGCGTAAGTTGGCAAAAGCCAACCGAGCCTTTCGTATCCGTGCAGAGATTTCGTCGACCACTGAGCCACCAGAGCTGATCCGACTCCCCGGGTAAGTGAAATGTTCAACGCGCTCAACCACTCCACTCGGAACGATAGTCTTGTTCAGAGGAGACAGCGACAAATCACAGACTTCTGAACACCTCGAGCACAAACCAGTATGTTTGGTATGCGTTTTTTATCTTACAAATGTGAGAAAGCATCAAAATTAGTGTGCACCAACTCCTAATTGAAGGAGAGAGGTAGGACATTAGGTTAAATGATAGTTATGGCTACAATGGATGTCAACGTGAATTAGAAGAAAGGTGTGATCCACATAGAGCTCCAGAAGATAATTCGGATTATTCGACTTGTGAATGACCAGTAATTATTGATGATACAAACAATCCCATCCAAGGCAGCAGTACGACTTTGCCCTCAAAACCCAATCATAGTGTAGCAATTTAAACCATAACAGTAACTGCTTTTTTCTTACCACTATCCGGTTGACCTTTCTGGTATGGTAGAATGTCGAAGGAACAATTATTCCACCAGCATAGCTCGTTGGGTCATTGTCATATGCAAGCCCAACCACCACATAAATGTACAACTATCGGTTGGAAGAAGACAGATAATATCAACTTAGGACTTTGTATTACTGTATAAAGTCTCAAGTTGACACACCTCATATCAGCATATCAAGTGAAAAAGTACTAAGATAAAAGATAAATGAATAAGAAGAAAGCAGTGAAAAGTGGCAGGAAGCATCAAAGAAAGAGAGAAAAGAAGTGGGGAGTGAGAAAATACTGACTTTCGTATGACAACTAATTTAAAGATAATGTGCAGATACATCTGCATTACTGAGATCGATTCCGGAACATATCATCTAGAGTCACACGGACCCCAACACGGAAGTCTACAGAACAACAGTCAACGACTCTTCCGGGCTCTGATTTTTGTCCAACTTTAACCTACTTCAACCAACATTGTGTGACCTGGCAGATGGAGACTGGACATACGTAACCCATATCCCAGTCACTTAAGTCGGTGAAAGTTCATAAACTCTTAAATTCTTCTCCCTTAAAATCTACTACCAACTTCTACATTACTGACGTGATAATGCAAAGACACAGTCTGTGGTATGAAAGTAATAGTGCCGAGGACCTGAAGCCAACTCATTTTCTGTACCTTTGGTGGTCATATTTCAAAATCGTAAAGTAGAACAGAGAAGACTGAAGCACAGTGCACTGGACCCTCAATCAACAATCAGATGCCACTGCAGAACCATAAATGGTAAAAGCCAAAATAGCCTTCTGAACTCGTGAGGAAGCAACTTAATGTAAACATAATTTTATCAGTGACGACCAGCTAAAGAAACAAAAGATGTTTATAAAGATGAATTTAGACATTATTATGAAATGATATCACAGATAAGATTTAAAGATGGTGGTATAAAGGCAAATACAATGAATCAATAACAAATTGTTACACAGTGAATTTCTTTTCGTGCAGGATGATCCGGCAAAAGCTTTGCAGTTCCCATTGTTAATGCTGACTCTGAAATTGCTCTGACGCCACGACCGAAGTAGGTGGCAGTCTTAAGAAACAACTCACAGAACCTTTAACGACGTCTGGTACACGAGGCAACATGAGTTGAAGCACTGCCATGGTAGCCGGTGACCAAGGTTCACGAGCCATTCCTCCGTTCTGAATTGTGGAGCTCATGTACCTTTTTCAACGATTCATTAGTTTACTTCATGATGAAATGTATCTTCACCATATTATCGGTCAATAAGCTGAGTAAAACCCCCATACAACACATTCGTTATCACCATACGTTAATAAGTTTTAATATGCTTTATACATTTAGTAATGTTTGCTGTGCATTTCACTGCCAATGTAGAGAGTCTGACTGACGAAATCAGCGAAAAACCTCATACACACACGCATCGGTCCAAGTTGCCGCACTTCACAGTAGTACATAAAGAGCAAGTAGATAGAAAAATAGTGGGTAAGAATGTGGGGGGGGGGAAACAATTTGAAGATACAGATTAGCGTAAGTGTTCAAGTTTTAGATGTTAATGAGTGATTACATCTGCGCCAGTTACCAATTTTCAGCCATGTCACGAAGAGCCCTCAACTACTGATTCGTTTCGTCTCCGGGACCCCAGTCAGACAGTCTACATTTGCAGGGAGTCTAGGAGAGCCATTTTGTTGGCCGATGGGTACTAGTCGGTCACAAGTTAGATTATTATGAGGACTGTCTTCTCAAGCTCTGTGGAGACCAAACCTTAATTTTAACCAATAATGACTGCCGGTATAGCCATAGCCAGCAGTCCACCTGGCATCCTTTCTTTGCCACATAAGCGTGAACTAAAAGAGATCGCAATGAAGTAAGTTGCCGATAGCGTAGGTGTATTCAGAACTTGTGTTCTTAATGGAGCATTTGTTCGGTAGCTGATCACGCTTTAGTGTGTGTCAAGTTCATCATCGTCATATCACAGATTAGTGTAAGCTAACTGCGGCTAAATACTAAGCTAATCCAGATTCGAAAATGGTTGCCGAACCTCTAGAAAGTATACATAAACATTGGTGAAAATGTGAAAAATGGTGTGTAAGCTACATGTGGCTTTAGAGAACGTTCCACTAATATATACTGGGTCTGTGAGCTTCCTGCAACTTTATGACCCCCATGGCATATGTAGATGCCTGGCATGACAAATTCTACAGCGCTTACTCGAAAATCACGAAGTTTGATGGTTAGAATCAGTGAGATAGAAGCAGCGGTTGCACTAAACAGAGGTTTTTCTAGTTCACCTGAATCACCAGTAACACGAAGCCTAGTGTCAGTGAAACAGTTTAAGAGATTTATGAGATACCGATCAATAAACATCACATACACCTGGGACGCTGGATATGAGCTCTGTAGAGCAATCTTCCTAGCGTGTTGTTTTAGACGGCTTTTCTCTTCATGGTCGATCAACACCTGACGAAACTGAGGATCAGAAAGAACTTAAAGTACCAAAGTGTCACCAAGCACTCGGTAAAAACAACTTGCTCGTAGTTCCGACTAGACACGGACCACAGACTGTAGTCAAGATGACTAAATAGTTAAATGTGACTGACAAGCGATGCTCTGCAACTTTGATTTGAAGGCACCTTTTTAATCACCTTTAGAAAGGTTCATGCAACGTGTCGATTACCAGCCTAGAAGTAACAGCTAATGTCATTAATGGGCCTTGCTAAACACATGGGGAACTAATTCCAGAAGAGCGGGATGGCTTTGTCCAAGCCTTTGACGTGTTCATCATGTGTCCAACATACATCACCTGCTTAACCACTATCATAATCACTCCATGCCGATAATTATCATGTCCTTTTGTATTGAGACTCGTAGAATAATTTAACAGAGTTGTACTCCGAAACTGTATTTCATAGAAGCGTGTTCCAGGCGTTTTTTGAACCCTCAAAAGTCTTTTAATCACTTCAAGAAGTGGAGTGCTTTGATAGGGTCAGAAAAACCTTCCATTATAGTCTGTTTATTAGAAATCTCAGGCAATGAAACAGAATCATTTACTAGATAACGTTTTGGACAATTTACTGTCCATATTCATACCATGCATCTCTGAAACGCTATCTAGTGATAGTCTCACTAATAAATAGACTAAAACGGAATTACAATCTATCAGTGCCTCAGAAAAGTATTGTCTGTACTTGACTTTGAAGAATGACTATCAAATTTAGTCGAAGAATCCATGCATTAAGATAGGAGTATGCGATAATCAAAGTTCAACTGATAAGGTTTCTAGTAGCCTAGTGAACCGATCTGCGTCATCTATTCTGCAGTCAACCTGTGTAAAACTCCACACATCCGGTACCTGACCTATCCCATCTTAAGGTGCTGAACGACTGTATATACACACTAACCACCATTTTCATTGAATTGTTTACACTCTGTGGGATTACAATGTAGGTAATTATGAAGTCGGTGAACGCCTATTTGTAAGTGATGGAAATTGGAAAGGGCTACCCGGGGTTCGAGCGGAATGACTACTATTAGCCAAACATAAGCAACCTGTTCACAAGGCTACACGTCACCTATTGTGTAAGGGTTAGCACTGCTAGCTGAAATGACTAAACAGCAGTAAGTACAGCAAGGCATGATTATAACTAAAATCCCGAAATGAATAGCTGATATTTCCAGGACAGGATATCAGTACCGATACTACACTGGCCTTAACACAATGAGGTAGGAAAGAACAAATATTAGTTGCTGAATTGGTAGCGACTCATATTTCCAACACAGGTACCACGAAAACGTTGGGACAAACGAACTGGTTTGTTATGTCCATTACTGCACGTCAGTATAAGCGATCAGTAAGAACAGGATATATAAACTCGGAAACACGTCATAATCCAAACCACCACCAACAGGTTATACAAAGCGTAACTGTAATACTCGAGCACTCACCTTCTCCATCGTAGTGATCGAACAGCATACAACCGAGTGGAGTGTGTTTGCCCCATATCGACTCCGAAGGACCAGACTTTGCGTAGGCCGAGAAAATCCTGACGTGAAAATCACTAGATCCGCAAGCTATAAGAACGTTATTTGGATGCCAATCAACACAGAGTACAGTAGATCTTATTGGCTTTTTGATTTTCTTGCTCAACCACCAATTATTCTCTTCATCGAAACAACAAACAGCCAAAAGCCTAGAGCCACTTCCTACAGCGAAGCGGTCTTCAAGTGGAGACCATTTCACACATACTGCGGCTCTATCGATCTTCAAGGAATGAATTCAGTAACAACTCAACAATTCACCAACAAAACTTACCGACAGGATAACCTGTGTGGGCTTCCATTTATTGTCTCTTTGCTTATTCCACACATAGGCATTTCGATCCGCAGAACATGAAACAATCCTATTTGTTTGTTTTGCCCAGTCTATACTTGTAACCAATGCACTATGTTCCCGGAGTACGTCAATCAGCTGATATCGCCCACTGGAGGAATTAGGAACACTGAGTACATAGACATCACTGGTATTCACAGAGAGGGCTAATTCTGTGCCATCACCATTGAAGGCATGGCTGACTAGCGAGTCACTGCCAAGGATAAACGATTGAGACATCGTGGCGCAAACTATGAAATTTCCGCTGAAACAGTTTTCGGAAGACTGAGTAGTAATGATAAGGTCTTGAAAAAGTTGTAGCACAGAAAGTATCAACGAATATCCTTGTAGAAGAAAACCCTTAAATTGTTACCACTGGTTATATACTGCATTGCTGGCTGGTGTAAGTGAGCCTACAACCTTGTTCCTTTAAGTTAGAGAATTGTTTTAATACAGAACTTAGTATTGCACTACTAGCTATGACCTTTGTTATATATATTTTTAAACTCCACCCACATTCCTGGTTCCCAGTATTCCCTTATCGAAAACTGCCAACTTCTCCAGTTTTAGGAGCGACCGAAATGCAAGCTTTGAATAAATTAAACCGATAGACTCCATTTCTTAGTTTTCCTGGAATATCTGCAACATATCTTGTCCGAACTGATCCCTGATTGACTCCCTGATGCTAATGTAATCAGTATAGTGGGACTTGTTGAGGCAGCTGGTCTTCATAGAACTCTGAAACGCAATTTGTCTTCCCCTACACTCAAACTGCTGTTGACACCACAAACCTTGTCGCTGCGATAATATGTTATGTGGCATATTTGCCAGTCATTCCTGCTTGATGGTGTCTGGAAGTCGTTGATGAGACGTCTTCAGCAAGTTGTGTAAACATTCCCACCCACAACTAGGAGCCAACGTCAAGGTCATTGTGCAGCTGGACTGAATTAGGATGTCGGAGATGGGCCTCCTGTGCGTAACCTATCGAACGTTTTGCATTGTTCATCGCCCCAACAGCCCCATAAACTGCTTGATAACCCCAAGTGACCATACGAAACATTATCCATATTACTCCCGAAACAAACTCTCATGCTTCTCCATAACAGTCGGTATAAAACTCCACGTAACCATCTTCCATAATATTCAACCGTTAGCCATTAAACGCAGTAAATGTGCCTTCGGCTTGCGATCAGTTTAGAGGTGCAACCTACAATAGGCAACCAAATGGAGTGGTAGAACGACTTCATCACCAGCTGTAGGCTGAAATTTCGGCCGTGACCCCGTCTCCGTTGACCAAGGCAAATTCTTCAGACCTCTTAAGTTGCCACACTTATTTCAAGTCTCACACCAGATATGGTTCGGTAGAACTTTTTGACGGTTCTGGTCCCCGACCAAATGATGAACCTGTCTCTAACTCTTGTCTTACAGCAGTCTCGACAGAAACCATCACGGTACAGTGCTCACAGACGTGATGTGGTCAGTCAGGCCTCCAGCGAAAAGCAGTAGGAAAATTCCCCCTACGGGACCTTTGAAGTTAATAATAATAATCATATATTTCGAACAATTTATCATACGAACACATGCCGTTTTTACAGGCAATATGTGAATGTTATTGTTGCCGGTGAGGCTGAGAAAATCTAGAAAGATTACGTCACCATACCATACATAGTCTGCCAGGATGCAATTATTCGCATGTTGCTGGTTACAAATATGAGATAATAACCCTTTCGCTACAAAACATTAGTGAATAGTAACAAAGGCATTGTCACCAAGCAACAGCTTTAATCAGGCAACTGTGATCAGGCCTCGAGACTTCAGTTAATGAGTCATATAAACGGTGAAAGCACATAGAATATCGAATGCCGGGCACAACCAAAGCTGAAAAAATGCGAGTAATCAATAAGCTTGTGCTGTTTACAGAGAACATCTAAAACTAGATCTAAATCCTGATGTGGACCGATGACGAAGCTTGGGGTCAGTGTCACTCGGTGTCAAGCAGCATGTAGTGATTGTTTAAGTCTATGTCATTGAAAACAAATTCATAGGGATCAATTAAGCTAAACTTATAATTGTAATCGTTCTCATTTTGCAGCCCACGAGGTGTAAGGCTTCATCAATAAATCATTCGATGTCTTCGAGGTTGGAGCTTCATATGAGGTCAGTTTTGTTTCTCTTAACTATGAGATAAGTGGCTGTTATTAGTCGCAGAACCTGCATGTTTGGGTACAAACAGCATGTAATGCAAACATTTCTGGATATAATCCCAATTAGAGCCATAAATTTGGGGTGAACTGTTGAACTAATCGTTATGCAGCGGCCTCATTGGGAATCTGCCCATAAGAAAGAAAATGGAACGTGAGTATGGAACAATTTGTCGTGTGCTTAGGTCAGTGAGTGACAAGGTATGAACAAAATAATCAGAGAAGGAGAAATCCGCTGTGGACTTAAGGGTTATTACACAAAAATCATCTGTCTTTTCAGTAATAAAATATGGTGAAATAATAGTCAGTGACTCTTAGTGCCCAGTAAATGCAAAGTATAGCACTGAAACTATTTGTCTGAACTGCAGATCGTATCAGTCGACATGTCTAATCGAGAATTCAAGAGATAAGGAATGAGCGATCGTCATGCATACAGGGATATGCAGAAGCTTGTGAATATGAGGTGAGTTTTGGCATGAAGAAGTGAATCAATGGGAATCTCGGTGTCTAGAAAATAAGACAATTTGATGCACGGACGCTTGCGAGGAATACTGGGAACAGACGTTCCAGTAATACAACTAAGTGGATTTGAACGTCGTTTTTAGTCAGGCGAGTATGCTGTTCACCGTATATCAGCTACCCTATTACGATGATACCGGTTACGCAACTGAGAAGAGACCGTCAGATACACAGGGTCATCACCGTTCCAAATTAAGAGCTATTTCATTCACAATGTGATACTTAGAAAGAGATCCCACCAATATTTATTCTTAAGTTACCATCGATTTCACTACCTTGGGGATGCGGGTCCTACAAAGCCATCTCTGGGCACCTCTGCCGAAAGGCGTCTATCTACAAACAGACTGTAGATATCATTTGAACTCAAAGGCATGTTGATAAGGTGCTTAAACCGTGACACAGAGGTGTTGCTGCATACGGTTACGGAGAGCCCATTCCAGATCAATCTGTAATACGTAGCAAAGAATTTACATGTGACCTATTCATTGCATCTCTCTGTCGCCAACGTCAGTGTATGATTTCTAAGGTCATATGGCGGCACATATCTCGAAGCGGGCGGGGAGGAATAGTATAACGGACCACGCAAAGTTGTGTACAAGTTGTTTCTCGGACGCCGTTTCCATGGCGTTTCGACAGACATTATAGTGCACCTATCTATGTGGTCCACATGACCGGCGCTACTTAATAACCGTCCGGTGAAACTCCTTTGGACATATTCAAGTAGTGATTTGTCAGTTTTGTTCATGCAAGAAAAAACGAATGGGCCACATTCAAATATCGGTCTAACGTAAACCTTGAAAAGAGCAAGTCTGGCCTCTTTTGTATAGAATCCCTTCACAAGGAAACATGATGATCTTCTAGCTTTGTGGTACGCTCATCGAGGATAGGGTCACCAGAATACTGGAACCCCAGAAAATAATGATCATATAATAATAATACTCATTCCTGAGCACACAGGTACACACCATTTTTACGGTATGAATATTTTTAGATATAAATCACATGTCTTCATGGAAGGCAATCTCAATCCCCGCCCATTGTCACTAGAAGATATAAGTGCTGCATGTTTACATATGAAACATCCCAACATAATAAGCATGCAGAAAATTCACAAGTTGAATAAGTGGCAGTATTTTCTTCGCATTAACAAAAAAACCAGGTTTGTATCTCGACTCTAGATGCATTACCTGGAGAAAATAAAGCTTGAAGCTAACACTTCCATTGTAATGGTCTGTAGTTTTTGCCTGAGATAATGATGAAAAGTTTATGAAGGAATGTACTTACGAATTGTTTACCCATTGCACTTCATTGATGATTCCAGAACCTTGGGGAGCATTCGGATTTCATGATCTTTAAGGGATAGCGTGCTCCTAGGATAATACTTTTCTAGGTACAGAATTCCACACTTTTCCTGGTTGAATCCTAGTTGCCACTTCTTACTCCGCTCAAGTAGATTATCTAAATCTGCCTGAGCTTCCGACAGACCCTCAGTAATTCCACCGTACAGGAAGCTGTAAACAATCTTAAGGTCATCGGCATAACGATATGGTTTTCCACATCTAACCGCTTTGCATATGCAGCTAATATACATGAGAAAGAGAGGCGGACCAAGAACACTTTTTTGTACCACACCACTTGTAATTGGTCGAGGGTCTGAAAGGCAATTTAACTATCCGGGAGGGTTTATGAAGAAATGATTCGAACCAGATATAGAAGGGGCTTTCCACGCCATATGACCTGAGCTTCATGAGCAGTCTCCGGCGGGATACTTTATCAGATGCTTTCTTGAGGTCAAAAATAGTACAGCAGCTGAAAGACCTCAGTGCAACAAAAAGCCTTTACTTTTGCTGTTCTACCTTTGGTTTTTGTATTGTAAGACGCCCTCATAACCCTGTTTCCTTACTTTTGGGGTTGCTCAAATACACAAGAGTACATACATCAGTTCCCAAATTTTGGTAAAACTATGTTCCCATTCATCTTGTATAATCCAGTTTATTAAACTGTAATACTTTATGTTTAGAGTTTCATTTTACTTTCACCGTCGTTTTACTCTGACTAAAGCAGAGCATGAGGTCATTATTGTTTTGAACTGATTGGACTGTCTGCTTGAGGCATTCCTAGATTTTGATCTGACTCTTGCGGACAGACAGTTTTGGTCCCTTCTGTTGAAAATATTTTCACTTTGTTGTAAGCATGTTATCTTCATCACTTACTGATTTCTTTCATCATGTAGGTTGATATCTTGAATCAAAGGATTCATTGTTCCAGTATCCAATACTGGTGGTGCGAGCGTAGAAAACTGATAGTTTTTGATCTCTCACGTCTGGTTATAAGGGCTTGGTTAGGGTTGTTCTGTTCATTCCTGCAGTATGTGAGGAAATTCCCTCTGCTTTTTGCCTTTAGCCCGGGTGAGGTGAATGTTTCGTGGGTTGGCAACCTGTAATTTGTAGAGTGATTGGGGAGCTACGGGTTGCTGTGAAGTTTAGGGGACTGTCGTGAGTCCTGTCTGTGTAGATAGCC